TGTGTGTGTGTGTGTGTGTGTGTGTGTGTGTAATGTCTCAGTTTTTATTAACTGCTTCAGTTCTGTGGACTGGGATTAAATCAAATGGAACATGAACTCTGCTTTGTGTGGCTGACAACCTTCAGATTTGTTCAGTGCACATGATGAGACCCAGCAAGGGTTCTGTGGTTCTTGGTCTTTCTTCAGGGCTGAAAACAGAAAGAACTGGCTGAGGTAGTTCTGCTGGGCACTGGACCTGGACCACTGATGTACTCATGTGTCTGCTAACAGTAGAGCTCTTGTTTCGGCCCAGAGCTTTTAATCACATGAGAGCTGCTAATAATCTTCAGCGAGCGGAGGCTGAGTGGGTTTTTCTGTATTAGTTTGTTCGACAGGAGGACACAAACGTCCCTCACACACGTGTGAGAGAAGCTCACCTGAAAAAGTATCAGGGACCCCTCATATCCTCATGTTTATTCAAATATGTTGTCTCTTTAATGCAAGGGAAATATTTGTGCAATATGAATACTTAAAACTTGTTCTTTAATAGTGTGAATACAATTTTTATACTTTTAAACATGGGGTATTTTTCATTCAAGACACAAATAAACAAAAAAATTAATTTCAACTTCCACAGCTGACAGTTTTGATAAAACTAACAGCATCAAAACCACTTTGAAACTTTACCTCGTCACTTATGAACGTACGGTAAATGTATCGCCACTCCTTCAAATTATTACAGAAAACTGTCAAACTGAACAGAATCATCAGAGCAGGAGTCACACCAAGTAACAGGCGCCATTTGTAAACCGATCCATGCCGGAGCGCAAATAGTGGGCGAGCCAGTGGGGGGGTGCTGGGAGTCTGGGGGTCTGGGGGTCTTCCCCCAGAAAATATTGAATCAAGTACTGTAGATGTGATTTCCTGCATTTTGGTGTATTTTAACGGGTTGTTACGTGCTTGTAAAAAAAAATTAAAAAAATTTTGCGGACCCCCAGGCACTGGCTCGTGAACCCCCGGGGGGTCCAGGGACCCCAGTTTGAGAACCACTGCCCTAAACACACACACCTAGCAGCCTTCCACACACTCCTGTCTTAACTCTCCAAGTTTTAAGGAGACATCAGCTGAAGGGCAGCTCATAGATGTAAAACAAATTAAACAGAAGCCGAAGAAGAACAGGGGAGACTTGAGGAGACCGGTGGAGGAGACAACCACTGAGGACATGGACAATAAATACTGTGGCTTGTCTGTTATTTTTAGATCTCACACATCCAGCCTGCTCAGTGTGAGAACACACACTGGTGCCACCTGCTGACAGTACATGTGGTCTGTAGTGTGTGCGTGCACGCTCATTTTTAGCTGTTCTCAGTTGTAACGCCACTCGTGATAACCGGATGACATGGGGGGTCAGAACAGTTTCAGTTTTCATTAGAGCGGTTGGAATGACGTGGTTAGGGCTCATGTTTGGATCTGGTGAACAGACAAGTTTTGTAATAAACCACTTTAACCCACAGTCTGAATGGGCGGCAACTGCTGGCAGCTAGTTGACACATGTCATTTCTTCTCACTTCAAGTTTGATCACTTTAATGTTCAAAGTTTTGAACATACTCAGCAAAACTGTGCACCAGTTTTCAGAGCACCAAGGCCCAACCTTCAGCTACCACCCATGGCACCATGCACCCGACTCGTTTGGCCCTTCCTGCAGGTGGTGGGCCCATAGGAAGGCAGAACCATGTACCAGTAACTTGTTTGGGCTGAGCCTGACTGGGCTCCATGGGTAGAGGCCCAGTCAGCAGGCACTTGTTGACGAGCCCCTTCCCAGGCCTGGCTCCAGGATGGACCCTGGTAACCCAAGTTTGGGCAATGAACATCCAACTCCTTGCTGTCATCTGTCCTTTCAAGTATTCTCATTGAGATGAGCCACCTGAGGAGGTTCAGACCTCCTGGACGCCTCACTAGGGAGGTTTTCCAGGCTTATCCAATTGGGAGGAGACCCCAGGAAAGACCCAGAACATGCTGGTGAGACTACTTCTCAACTGGTCTGGGAACACCTTGGAGTCCTCCCAGAAGAGCTGGAAGAGGCTGTGGAGAGAGCTGTCTGGACCTCCCTGCTCAAGATGCTGCCCCTGAGACCTGAGGCCAGAACTGGATGGATGGATGGTTGGTTGGTTTGTTTGTTTGTTTGTTTTAAGGATGTGTTGGTGGAGTTCCTTGGCCTCACAGCCTCAGGGTAGAAGCTGTTCCTCAGCCTTGTTTGTGATTGCTTCTTCCAAGTCCCAAATACAATAATGGACCCAAACTGGACTTGGACTCTGTGCAGTGTCCTGAGATGACTTTAGATTTGGATTGATGCTGTACAAATATACTGAATTAATACAGTTCTGTTCCTAACCTAAACTTGTTGTGTGTCTGCAGGGTGACTGGATCAGCGCTGAGCTGTTGGCAGGCCAAAGGTAAAACTGGTTGATACCTCTGAGCCACACTGTGTTTAATATGATCCAGTGACTTTATTCTTCTGGTGTTTGCCTTTCTGACATTATTTGATCTTGAACGGTTCGGTCACTCAAAGAGTTTGCAACCGCACGTTTTAAAAACACCAAAATATTAACCAAAGGTTTTGATATTAAATACTGAAGTATTTGAAACGTTGGGATCAGATGCAGTTACAGTGCAGCTGCATTTAATTCCACTGAGGATTGAAGAATCACTGAGGTTTCAACTGTTCATTTTATTATGAAAAAGCACCAACCAACACTCTGAGAAGTTTCTGACATGTGACTTCACTCAACATGTCAACTCTCTGCACACATCAAGTCCATTTTTATTTTTAAATCAAATGCCTTATTTACATGTGATTATATGTTTTATCACTGATTTTAGTTGATTTTATCATTGATTTTAGTTGCACTCTGTAGCACTTTGAGATTTTTGTTAATGAAAAGTGCATTACAAATTAAATTCATTATTATTATTAGATGACAAAAAGGGGCTGAAAATGATGAAACACTTCAACTTGGCTTATGTTTAATGTCAAATTTTGACTCTGGGTTGTCATACAAAAACAGCGCCAGATATATATATATATACATATATATATATATATATATATATATATATATATATATATATATATATGTTTTTTTTTTTTTTTTTTTTGGAAATGGTGCCTTTTATATCGGTGAGTTATTTTGATGGAATGATCCATGTCCAATATTTAACTTTTAATGCCAATATCGGCCAAAACAATGCCAATAATATTGTGCATCCCTAGCTTCTATAGTCCAGGTGTGTTTTCTATGATCGAGGTGTCATTTCTATGGTCTAATTGTAGATTGTAGTCCAGTTGCTGTTTCTATCGACCGGTTCTAGTTTCTATGGTCCAGGTGTGGTTTCTATGGAAATATAAGCATGTCAATGATACAAACTGGATTCCAAAAAAGTTGGGACACTAAACAAATTGTGAATAAAAACTGAATGCAATGATGTGGAGATGGCAAATGTTAATATTTTATTCGTAATATAACATAGATGACAGAACAAAAGTTTAATCTGAGTAAATGTAACATTTTAAAGGAAAAATATGTTGATTCAAAATTTCACAGTGTCAACAAATCCAAAAAAGTTGGGACAAGTAGCAATAAGTGGCTGGAAAAAGGAAATTGAGCATATAACGAACAGCTGGAAGACCAATTAACACTAATTAGGTCAATTGACAACATGATTGGGTATAAAAAGAGCTTCTCAGAGTGTCAGTGTCTCTCAGAAGCCAAGATGGTAAGAGGATCACCAATTCCACCATTGTTGCACAGAAAGATAGTGCAGCAATACCAGAATGGTGTTACCCAGCGTAAAATAGCAAAGACTTTTAAGTTATCATCATCAACCGTGCATAACATCATCAAAAGATTCAGAGAATCTGGAACAATCGCTGTGCGTAAGGGTCAAGGCCGTAAAACTCTACTGGATGCTCGTGATCTCCGGGACCTTAAACGTCACTGCACCTCAAACAGGAATGCCACTGTCAAGGAAATAACAGAATGGGCTCAGGAATACTTCCAGAAAGCATTGTCAGTGAACACAATCCACCGTGCCATCCGCCGTTGCCAGCGAAACTCTACAGTGCAAAGAGGAAGCCATTTCTAAGCAAGCTCCACAAGCTCAGACATTTGCACTGGGCCAGGGGTCATTTAAAATGGAGTGTGGCAAAATGGAAGACTGTTCTGTGGTCAGATGAGTCACGATTTGAAGTTCTTTATGGAACACTGGGACGCCATGTCATCCGGACCAGAGAGGACAAGGATAGCCCAAGTTGTTATCAACGCTGCGTTCAGAAGCCTGCATCACTGATGGTATGGGGTTGCATGAGCGCTTGTGGCATGGGCAGCTTGCATGTCTGGAAAGGCACCATTAATGCAGAGAACTATGTTCAGGTTCTAGAACAACATGTGCTCCCATCTAGACGTCATCTCTTTCAGGGAAGACCCTGCATTTTTCAACACGATAATGCCAGACCACATTCTGCAGCAATCACAACATCATGGCTACGTAGGAGAAGGATCCGGGTACTGAAATGGCCAGCCTGCAGTCCAGATCTTTCACCTATAGAGAACATTTGGTGCATCATAAAGAGGAAGGTGCCACAAAGAAGGCCCAAGACGATTGAACAGTTAGAGGCCTGTATTAGACATGAATGGGAGAGCATTCCTATTTCTAAACTGGAGAAACTGGTCTCCTCTGTCCCCAGACGTCTGTTGAGTGTTGTAAGAAGAAGGGGGGATGCCACACAGTGGGAAAAATGGACTTGTCCCAACTTTTTTGGGATTTGTTGACACCATGAAATTTGGTAACAACAGATTTTTCCATTAAAATGAAACATTCTCTCAGTTTAAACTTTTGATCTGTGATTTGTGTTCTATTCTGAATAAAATATTAGATGTTGGCACCTCCACATCATTGCATTCAGTTTTTATTCACAATGTGTTTAGTGTCCCAACTTTTTTGGAATCCGGTTTGTAAAAGTAAAACAAACATGAACTGCAGAGTACGTAAAGACAGCAGTAGAGTGAAAATTGTGGTCAGTTTGTCCTCCAGCAGTTTAAGCCTATAGCAGCATAACTAAGGGACAGCTCAGGAAACCAAAGCTACCCTAACTATAGGATTTATCAAAAAGGAAAGTCTTAATCCCAGTCTTAAACTGGACAATGTGTCAGCCTCACGGACAGAAACTGGAAGTTGGTTCCACAAGAGAGGAGCCTGAGAACTGAAAGATCTTCCTCCCATTCTGTCTTTGGAAACTCTAGGAACCACAAGTAAACCTGCAGTCTAAGAGTGAAGTGCTCCGTTAGGAAAATATGAAACAATAAGATCTGTAATATAAGATTTTTGTTTTTATTTGACAGGAGCCAATGGAGAGAAGCTAAAACTGGAGAATTATAATATTTCCTTGTTCTCATCCAAACTCTGGCAGCAGCATGTCGGTCCAACTGAAGACTTTCGTTTGTGGACACCCAGATAATGAAGAATTGCAATAGTCCAGCCTAGACAAGATAAATGCATTGGCCAGTTTTCTGCATCATTTTGGGCCAAGATATTTTTAATTTAGTGATTTTGTTCAGATGGAAGAAAGCAGTCCTGGTAACGTTTTTAATGCAACAACAGTCAAATCAACAGTTTCTGTCTCCCACTTGTTCCCTTTAATAACCTGGATGGAGGCCGCTGTTGATCTGAGGCAGGGAAGCTGAGAGGAAATGATGTAATGGCAGCTGCAGGTCTCAGGGGAAATGATATCATTGTTGCGTCGCCTCATCGTCCCATTTCCTGTGACAGGAGCAGAATGTTTCTGCACTGAAAATAGAGCTCACGTTTGAACTGAACTGCACGTTCTTGTTGCTCTTGTTCTTTTTTCAGTTGCTCCCCTTTGTGGGGGTCGCCACAGCGACTGAGCTCAACTGATAGATTTAGCAGTTGCTTTACACCGGATGCCTTTCCTGATTCAAGCTGGACTCAAACAAGGACAGCTGGAGGGTTCAAACTTAGGAGAGCAGCAAAGGTGTGCTCAGTTTTTGTTATCGTGCAGCATCTTGGTAATCTTCCACAGCCTCTTCCAGCTCTTCTGGGAGGACTCCAAGGTGTTCCCAGGCCAACAGAGAGACGTAGTCTCTCCAGCGTGTCCTGGGTCTTCCTCTGGGTCTCCTCCCAGTCAGACATGCCCGAAGCACCTCCCTAGAAGGTGCCCAGGGAGCATCCTTACCAGAGTTCATGACCAGAGGTGAGGGGAGGAACGTAAACCGACCGGTAAACAGAGAGCTTTGTCTTACAGCTCAGCTCCCTCTTCACCACAACGGACCGGAACAGAGTCCACAATACTGTGGACACTGCACCAATGCATCTGTTAATCTCACGCTCCATTCTTCCCTCACTCATGAACAAAACCCAGAGATACTTGAACTCCTCCATTTGAGGCAGAACCCCACCCTCAAGAGAACAATCCACCCTCTGACTGAGGACCATGGTCTCACGTTTGGAGGTGCTGGTTCTCATCCCAGCTGCTTCACACTCGGCTGTGAACACTGTTGAGACGTCTCGCAAATGACCCGAGACGAACACCGTTCAGCAACTAGTCCCAGTCTAGTGATAAACCACATAAACCCGCTGCTCCACCGTACGGTCTGGCTGCAGGGGTGAGGTCACAGTGTGTGCGCTACACCTGTGTGGTGTGGGCGGAGCCAGCAGCACCTGAGGCTGTTGTAATTACACTCAGCAGTAAATATCACGGCCCGCTTCCTGCTGTCGTGTTTGGCGTTGGAGCTGGAACCGAACTGTCTCCTGACTTTGGATCAGTGGAACGTTGGTCCGCCCCCGGAGCACGACCGTTCCTGTGAAAATAAAATCATGCAGCAGCTTTTTATAGAACATAATTTGTAGCTGCGCTCCACAGAAAAGGACTTCAAGAGCATTCTGTGGGAACGAGCCCGGTCCGCTCTGTGGGAACTGGGAGCTGCCCAGTGCACAGCAGGGGTTTGCCCAGAGGCACTCAGGCAGCAGATGTTGAAGGAGCTGTTTTTATCCCGTCTCTCTTCTCTTCTTTTAGTTTTTATTCCTCATGTTCTTCCTCATCGTGCGGCGATTCATCGCCCGCGGCCTAAACCGAACGGGCGACGGTGTTTTCGCTTGTTTGTGCGTAGAGTCTTCAAAGAACCGCGCGCTGACCGGTTGTGCCGCTGGAGCTCCGAGTGTCGAGTCACAGAGTTTAATAAAAATATTCTTTACTGTTGCTCAACCTGCCAGAACCAAACGACCTCAAAGATCAGCAAAGATCTGAGAGTCCGGGCCGTGTGAGCCGCCTCTCCACCGTGTCACAGCCCGACTGTACGATGTAGTAAAGGTCAAAGGTCGTCTGGATCAGGACGGGAGGTGTTTGCTGTTCAGGAGGAACAGGAGCCGAGGAGTCATGAAGGAGTCATCGCTGGGACATGGAGAGACAGAGGGAGGAGGAGGAGGAGAGAAGATGAGGAGGTGGAGGAGGAGGAGGAGAAGGGAGTAGGTGGAGGAGAGAAGAGGAGGTGGAGGAGGAAGAGGAGGGAGGAGGAGGAGGAGGAAGAGGAGAGGGGAGGAGGAGGGAGGAGGAGAGAAGAGGAGGAGTAAGAGAAGAATGAGGAAGAGGAGGGAGTAGGAGGAGGAAAAAGAGGAGGAGAATGAGGAAGAGGAGGAAGAGGAGAAGGTGGAAGAGGAGGAGGAGAAGGGAGGTGAACAAGCTGCTGCAGGAGCCTCCTGCTGCTGATGGTCTGGAGGTTTTGATGAAAATATGAATGTTTGCAGGAGAAATGTTGAAACCATGAAACCAGATTAGGATTAGGATTTCTCTCCACCACCAGTCCAGACGAAGACTCCGAGTTTCCTGAAAGTTTCAAACCATCAAAACATTTTGAGCTCTCATGCTCAGAGTTTAGGTTGTGGATGACTCACAGCTACAACCACGCCAAACTTTAGCCCAAACTTTAGCTCAGTAACTGTCAGTGCTGAAACGAGGGGGTGCATCGTCCCCCTGCCTCAGCTTTGAGGTGGTTCAGTCCAATAGTGCAGCAGCTAAAACCAGCTAAACCAGCTAAAACTATCTAAAACCAGCTAAAACTATCTAAAACCAGCTAAACCAGCTAAAACTATCTAAAACCAGCTAAA